CTACATATTCCTCCCATGTCTCTCAACCTATTTTTAACAACTCTCAAATTGGTCTACCAGGTCATTCGCTCCTTATGAGCTACTATTTTTGGTTTGCTCGAAGAGTGCCTCTCTAGCATATATCTTAAGCCAGGTTCTTGCTACCTCTACTAACTTCCTAATTCAGATACTGGTAGCATGTATCTCAAGTCAAGTTCCTGCTGCTGCTAGTGGTTTGCAATCTTTTTTGGTCTTAGTATTATTTCCAACAGATTGTGCATCTAACTTGCCCCTTAAGTACTCTCTTTTATGGTATAGATGGAACTCTATTTTGGGGATGAGTATACATTCTCTTTCAGCCATTGACTGATGTTTCCATTACTGTTATACCATGCTGCAGATTTTTCTTTGTTCTGTTTCTAACTACAGGCAATTCTCTTGTCTTTTTAAGAACATCTTAGCCCAAATCTACATTTAGACTAAGGTGTCTACACTGTGTTTGAGTAGGTTTCCAATTCCAATTTAGGTATCTCAACCATGATTGGTACAGCATTTATGTTGGTATATTCTATTTGTTTTGCTATAGGCTTCCATATAGATGTGACCAAAGCTTTGGTTTGGAACCTTTAGATGTACAGGACAGACTACAACTCCTCTATGTGAATGGTTACCTTCTATTCTTAGTTGTTTCACAGTGCCAGAGGTGCTTCTAATCTTGATAAGGCTAATTCTTTGTTACAAACCTTCTATGCATGCACTGCTTCTTTTACTACTCCAGTTCATGTTATCTTGGTATTACCTTCCTAATCAAGTATTCCACAAGTTGGATGCAGAGATGTTGGTACTGTCTCATCTCTAGAGGACTTACATGTGCAACTCTTTGTATAATAGAACTTTCTGTAACACTGCTGTTATACATAGTGCTCACACTTTGCAAAATTAGTTTCCTTCTGGAAATTTTTTTTTCCATCATATACTGCACTTGGACTTGACTACAAAGCTTCATGTTCAATTATAGGCTTCTTATGGGTTACAGAAGCTAAAATCTTTCGATTTTTGCCTCCAGCTATATTTGAACTATTGACCTTGACTGTGGGGGTATGAGAGCTTAACTATTAAGCTATGGAATCTACACCCTGGGCTTCTTTAATACTTTTACATATGTAATCTACTTTTTCTGTATTAATGTTAGTTGGCAAATCCTATATTATTAGCAATAATCCTATTTCTGACTCATTTTCTATTATGTAAGTTTTTTTATTATTTTCTTTTTCTTTCTGTTTCTTAGAATTTTTGGATCTTTTTTCTTTTTTTTTCTTGTCTTTATATACTTATTGATTTTGTTTTCTTTTTTGATTTTCTTGTTCTTCTGGAATAATTTTGAGCTATTTACATTTTTTCTCTTTGATTCTCTCTATTACTGCATCTCTGCTAAATTCATAGTCAAAGTTCACCTCTATCCAACTATTACTATTTTTGAATATCTCTTGAATTGATTTAAAGTAATGATTTTTTCGAAAAATCTATTGAGTATATTTTACTCTCTTTTTTTTGTTCTCTTCTGGTACTAGATATATTGGTATGTTTGTTTTAAATGATCTGTTCTTATTACATATACGATTTCTTAATAACTACTGACTTTTTTCTATCATGTCTATTATTTTTGGAGTTTTTTGGCTTTCTTCTTCTGCTTTTAGTTCAGCAATTTTCCTATTTATTTCTTTAATATCTTCTTTAAGTTTATATATTTTATTATCAATTTGAGAATCTTGGTTTTCTTTATCTGTTTTTTTATTGTTATTATTTCTACCTCTTGCTATGCTTTGCAGTTTTCTTTTAGTTATATTTTGAGAACTTTCAAGATTTGGTCATTACATAGTTGAGATGCTTAGTTCCTTCATTTGTCATATGACTTCTTGTAAATCTTAGATTATTTCCTTCTCTTCATTATTGTCTTCTTTATTCTCCTTCTTCATAATCAGTTTTATTTTTGTTTCTTTGATTTCTTTTGTCTTTTTTGTTCTCTCTGGTTTAATTTTTTTCTTAGATATTTCTTTTTTATTTGTATTTTCTTGGTAGTTGAATGACCTTGAATTTATATCTATTATTACTAATTTTGTTGTCTATTCTTCTACAATATTATATAATATTGTACATATTGTTGCTATTTTAAATGCTTCTAAAATTTGACTATACTGAAGTAGGTCATCTGATATTATATTTTTGGATTATAGACTGCTAGATCTCTTACTATATACTTTAAATTGTTTGGCTTATTAATTGACTTTGACAAAATTGAATCTAGTATTTTGTTATCTATATATCTCCTATTTCTATCATCAAAATCTCTAATATGTTGTATTAGATTTGTGCTATATGCTAACCCCAATCTTGTTTATATTTCTGTTTTTAGACTTTTCTAATGTTTATCCATCTGTTTACTACATGTGCTATACTTACCTATTGTTTTCTAATTGGACTAATTATTGTTGATTCTTGTTGTTGTTTAATATAACATGACATGTTGCTTTGGTTTTGTTTATTTTGTATACTGGTCATATGCTTCTTATTTGTTTTTTTGGATCAAATATTGTTTTCCAATATTCCTATAATTTTTAACAAAAGTTTTGAAAACCAGCAACAGTTTTATTTAACAGAACTTTGCTTATATATATTTTTTTTTTTTTTTTTTTTTTTTTGTTAAGACTATACTTGTAGTGATACTTTATTGACTTTATATCAGGTTAGTTATTACAACTATTTTTACAGAGATGAGAGTACAGCTAGTCACGCATGCAACTTTTGGTTGCCTATTTAAGTAGTCCACTCTAAGGTTCTACACTAGATGCCATACCTATAACCTACTAGGAGATTATCCATTTGAACTCTCTGATTATTCGCCCTGTTATATTGAAATCCCCAAACTAACCTCCCATATATACCTACCTGGTATACCGTCTAAGCAGTATGGTATCTACCCTTTTTGTACTAGTTCCTAGGCCGTTACACATTTCAGAGTATGTCACCTGTCAGTAAGGTGCAGAGGGCCCCTCATTGTTAACTATCTACCTACTTTTAGAACACTAACATGAGCTACTCTTACAAAGTTCACCCAGACCCCAGTACTGATTTCACAGCATATCCCTAGTACTTTTAATATACCTCTGCTTTGAATCCAAACTCCCAATCCAGATAGCCCAGAAGGACTGTGACCTGTCCTTGGTATATTGATGCCGACCCAATATCCTTTTTCTTTGATCCAAAATCTGGCAGCCTGATTGATGATACCCCTCACCCAAGGTTCTTGCCTACCCGAATCCTTTGCATTGGTATCCATTTCCTAGGTTTAGCCTTTACAGTAGTACTGTCAAAGATCTGTGTTACCTCTCTGCTCGGAATTTTCAGTAAGCTCCGGCTTCTCAGTTCTACAGATTTATTCAACCCAAGAACTTATTTTAGGTTTGTACTGCCTAGTACCGGTTTGCATTTTTTGTGTAACAGATTACACAGATGCCCCAGACCTGCTAGTCATGCTGGTGCAACCATAGTTACAGGTATCCTATCCCAACTGATCAACAGAATGCTGTCGCTGTAATACCATCTATATATTACATAAGTGATTATCCAAATTTCACCATCAGTGGGTTTTGAACTCACAACCTACTCACTTAGGGATATGACAACTTATCCACTTCACTAAGTCCCCACACCCCCGACTTTGCTTATATTATTGTTAAGACAAAGTAGTTGTATTTTGTTTGCGAGTCTTTTTTCTTAGAAGTCCAAGTAAAGTTTGTCAGACCATTTTTATGTTTTTCTATGTATTTGCTTTTAGCCTTGTTTGAAAATTTAGAATCAATAGAGAAAGTTTTTTTTTTTTTTTTTTCTGGTTTTTGATTATCTTTATATCAAAATTCTTATATTTTATAAGTTTAATTAATTATTATCTTTTGAAATCTTTAGCTTATTTGATTTATTAATTTCTATTATATTTTTTTAATTTCTAGATTATGTTTTTCTTTCTTTTTTATAAAATTTGTTAGACATTCTTGTATTTCATTTTTTTTGATTTATACATGTTACAAGAAATACTTACAGAAACTGCTTATATCAATTTATTGGTATAACTACTAAGCTAATGCCAAAGTCCTGACATTACCTGGCTACCTCTAATGATTCCCTGATATGATCTGCCGTATCCAGTGTTGGGCTCGCTTACAAATCCAGTAAAATTGAACTGGAACTGGACTTATAGGTCCAGTGGTCCAGTTTATAAGTCCAGTAAAGCGGACTTTTGGTTCAGAGTTCAACACTGGCCATACCAGTCTCAAGATCGAGAACTGAAGGTTGACTACATCAATCTATGTAACCAATTGGCTACTTATTTTCAAATATTACTAAAAAAATTTATTTGAATATGTATTTTATTTTTTTAAAAAGAATTTTACTAAAACGCACCTATGGTGTTTTACACCTATGCATGCATTATCCAAAAAATTGGCTAATTAATCAGTACGAGGTGTTCTAAGTAAAAATGTTCTACCCCCTGAAAACCCTTTCCAAACCCTAATACTAACTTAAAAACTAATCCTAGCATGAAAAAATTTAAGTCAAAACTTATAAAAACTTAATTTAAAAAACATAATAAAAACATATAATAGGTGCAAAACACCATAAGTGTGTTTTTATAATCGTTTTAAAAAAATCAGAAGTAAATTTATAAAAAAATTAAAAGCAAATTTGCCTCCAATTTGCTTACAATCTAAGGGATATTTACAGTAAATCTTTGTAAAAAAATATACCGTAGTTGATAACTACGTATCGCAATATCAATCAAATTAGATTTATATATCTACTTAAAACCAAAAAACTATGCAACTTGAAACTTAAAAGACTGTTTATTTAATAGAACATAATATAAAATACAAAAAATTTTTTTTATTTTATATAAATTTAAAAATAGTACATTCTACTCTTAACATTAACTATATATGCATTAAATTATTCTTCCAATAGAAATATTATTCTCTCCGCAAATTATCAAGTCTAGCTTGTAAGGCTGCATCGTCATTTGATTCCATATTTACGATTTGCGGAACCTTTTCTTTAGTGGTCTCTCTCTCAATTGAACTAGGAGTATCAACCAGCTAAATTTTGGAACACCATCAAATATCAAATGGTTATAAATGAGGATATTAGATAAACTTGGCTATAAAGAGCAGACATGGCCATACCGACTGATCCAGAGAGATCCCAATCTCATCCAAGACTTGATTCACGATCATATCACTTTCTTCCTCGTCTTCCTCTTCAGCCATGGTGTCATCAATGACGTCGTTCATCATTTCCTCTTTCATGTCCATTATTTCAGATTCTTTTTCGAATTCCATCATGATTTTCTGCATTGCTGGCAAATTCATTTGTCGATTCATTGATTTCATGGCCTAAGTCGATTAAATAATTAATATAATGTAGATCTATAATAAGCAACATGGATAAATTATCAATTGCATCCTACTTTGGTTGCTCCTTTCATAGCTTCAGACATTTGCTGATTTGATCGAAGAGTCTAAAAAAAATTGGGTTAACATAATTCACATTAAACCGATGAAATGGTGGCTTGAAAGTAACAGAATTTTACCTGAATTCGTAATGAAACAGCTTGAAGTTGTGTTTTCATTGCTTGGAATTTTTGGGAGTAACGACGAGTTCTGACAAGATCTTTAGCCATAATTTTACATGCACTCTATCAGACCCAAATTAACACAGAACCAAAAGAATAAGCTTTACCATAATAAGAAAATTTTTGTAAGGTATTACGCTAAAGGGTACAAATTAAGCGTCGTTTGTTGTAATAGTGAACGCTTATGCGTATGCTAATGTACATAAAAGCCACCATACCACTTGATTTGCTTTAGCAGACTTTTTTATGTCGGCAATTAATTTTTTTTCAGCAAGATCCAGTTTTGCCTTTTCACGATCCATTTCACGTTGTGCTTTTTGAAGTGCACGTTGATGTTGCCGCAATAGCTCTGCCGGCGTTTTTTTGCGACCAAATAACAGCTCCTATAAAAGGAGTAAAAAATAACATTAATGCCTTGCAAATAAACACTCATCAGCCTTACTAGAGATTACCATCGTAACGTAGATTTCGGTATTTGGTATTATTCAACACGGATTCACGGAACTACTTGACACCTATTTATATCCGAATAATCCTTATCAAGATACAAATATGCATCAATGCGTAATCTTTTTATTATGGAAATTGTGGAAATGCCATGTGCAAGTGGATATAGAGAAGTCTCGTGATAGCTATCACACTAAGACTAAAAATATAAAAAGGCGGTAATATACCAAATTATCATGTATGACTTCTGTTCATGAACGATCAAAATATGCCTTCTTGTAAAGAAATTCGCAGGGAACTCGTCGATTGCTTGCTCAAATCCGACTGTGTAGTAGTGAAACGCCACACTGTTAAAGGTGGGGTGATAATTGAAGGGTCACAGTTTACCTGTTTGTTTTACTCTTTTCATAACTACTTTTGGATCGAGGTTAAAAGAGCGTTCTCTTTCTGCGTTTTGTGTTGAAAAATAATATACAAAATTCGATAAACATTTTTTCGATGACAAATTAGAATGTTTACAATTCGAAAATGCTGCAGATGTGCCCGAAGAATGTCAAAGCATTCGAAGAAGTTTCTTTGAATGTAAAAGAAGATTGGTAAATTTATTTCAAATCAACGTAGCATATAGCATTGACTTTTTTTTTTGACAATTTTGACAATTTGTAGTTGGATATGCGAACTCGATTTAGAGGCAGCAAGTCATAATTTACGAATAATTAATTGACAGAGAAGCTTCTTTCATTAACATTAACGTCCAATTCTATATGATTACAAAAAAAAAATTATATCATGTGAGATTGTATGTGTGGTACTGAGGTACAGTAGAATCTACACCAACACATAATTTAATATATAATCTTTTAATCCAATAAAATGAAAGTAAATCAAATCCATATAAAGTGATAAAAATCTTTCTATCCTTCCAAAGATTTCATAAGAAAAAACAACTCGTCGTCATTTCAATTTTACAAATTACATCTTAAATTATCGTATATAAATACAGTTTGAAGCAAGAATAACTCAAGCGTATTATGGCTGAGGCTTTCATTGGCTTGAGTGTGCACGTCGAACTTAGTAATGATTCCTCATTGGAAGGAACTGTTTCTCATATCGATTCTCACACACAACTGTTAACTCTTAAAAATGGTTTGTAGTATATAAGCCGTTTTGTCTATTAATATTGTAACGATTCCTTATATATTCTCTATAAACACTTGACTTTAAATTAAATAACACAGTGAAGCTTTACAACAACGGTCGTTTTCAACAACTCGCTATATATGGGGTAGCTGGCACAGATATTAAAGATCTCCAAATAATTGCTTCGAATCAATTAAACCAGTCAAATATCTCTCAACAGCAGCGACAAGTACAACCTCCTTATAATAATGCAAAAAACATGGAACCTGCCAAGCTACCTTCAACAAACGCCATCTCTGCTACAAATAATGCTGCAAAACATGGAACAATTCAAAATCAATTATATTCCTCTGGCCTGTTATCAAAATCGCCTTTTACAGATCCTGCGATTATTTCGGTTGGTTAATTTTTTATGTTATTAGTCCATAGAAATATTGTTTACGAGAACACCGCATAATATATTTCAGAAAGTCATATATATATATATATTTATTGATAGATCGATTATTTTTATCTTTATTTATTTCCTATTATTCTTATTTTGTCATAGTATTCTCATTTACCTCAACGCTCATCGATTTCTCCAGTGAATTCATATGGATTAATAAGGTAGTTCGAATTTTTCTGAATTTTCTTTATGAAAAAATAAGTTGCCATTTTTCTTTAAAAAAAAAATGCTGTTTATATATTTACTAATTACATTAACTTTCGATGTGAATGCTACTCAGAACATCACCACCGTATGTCGTATGTATTTTATATAATTTTTTTTCCTAGCGAATAATTTACATTATATTATCCAAGAAATTTAGAGAACATATGTTTATGAGTTTTATTTTAGCTAGATCTGGTACTTAATAACTTGACTTGTTTATTTTATTGACTGGGTCCCGACGTTAACTACCCTTTTTTGGTGTATGTTAATAGCAAATCCACCCTCAACCAACTTTATCTGGCTCGCGCACGCCCTCAAAAACAACTCAAACGGGTTCAACAATAGATAGTGATTCTAAAGGTGAAGAGGAGGAAGAACTTGTGAAAACATCAAACGGTAATCATCATAATGGGGGTGAATCGAGTGGAGCTGAATCTGGTAGCGTGACATACGATCAAAAAAAGACAACGAGAAGAAGAAAGGTAATAATTTAGGAAATTTGAATATTTAATTGGCAAGTTTGGTACGAAGTCCCAACGTTTCTAAGGTCATGATCCTGAAAGACTGGTTGGCATTAATTATAATTTTGCGGGATTTTGTATCAAACTTTAAATTGGCAACATCTATTTATTATATCATTTTTTCGATTAAGAATCTGAACACAAACGGCCATCATCAAAATTCGCGAACGGCTCAGTCTCCAGGTAAGATTCTCATCAACCTATACACATAATTATAGTCGCGACTGAAGCTGGAAATTAGGGACCCGATTAAAAATACAAAACCTACCAGAACCCACATACAAGTAACTCTCGATATAAGAAACCTTCGATATAAGAAACTCTTGATATAAGATTTTACAAGTCCCAATTGAGAATTTTTATAATGATATAAGAAAATCTTGACATAAGAAAGATTTTGACTGGGCCCGGTAACTTTCATATATCAAGAGTCACTTGTATACTCTTTTATTATCAAACTAACCCTAACCTAACTATAAAAAAAAAAAAAAAAAATTGAAAATTTCATATAAAAATATTTAAAATTTCTAACTCAGCCGCGATAATTATTTATATATTGGTTTCATATCATTCATTCGCAAAATTCCTTACAGCAAGAAGATCCAGACGTGGCCGTCGACAAACTCATGAGTGGGCTGGTGGTGATGTTAACGACTTTAAATCGAAAGAATTTGATTTTCAAGGCAACTTGAATTTATTTGATAAAGAAAAGGTGTTTGCAGAAATCAGAGTAAGCCATGTTATAAACATTATTTGCTTTATGCATTAATTTAATATATTAAAATTTAATGGCTTGTTTTAGGAACTAGATTCCACAGCACCAGAAAATCTTCTTGTCAATATCAATCGTAATCCAAATTTTCGTTCAAATGGTCGTAATGGTGGCTCTCAATTAAATCAAGCTACATTACCAAAATTGGCACCTCATGAAAACGTTTTGGAAACTTCTTCACGAAAGACGAAGTTTTATCATACTGATGAAGAAGATGATGTGGCTAATGACGGTGAAGTTGACTCTGATGGTTCTTGGAAAAAGAAGAAAAAAGCTAATGGTGTTGGTGATCATAGAAAAGTTAAAATAAGGACATTAACTGGCGTTGCATGTCCGACTGTCCAACCTGTCCAGATGGTGGAAGTTGAAAGGATTGCTGGTAAACATATTAATATTACATATTGCACATAAATACCTCGATTGGATATAAATAAATGTACTCTTTTTAATTAAACATCAAGCGACAGAAACTGGTCCTAACGAAGATCAAATGATTGAAAATGCTGGTAGGGGAGCTTCTATGATGTGTCTCCAGGCGCTTGGTATGTGATACGCAGCCCTTTGAATATTAATTTACACCATTCTTGAGATTAACTTTGACTATTATGACAAAAGGTGGTTCGCGGCGTATACAACCACACAACCATAATGCAGCTCCATTAGTAGTAATACTTGCCGGTAATAATAAAACTGGTGCATATGGTCTTGCTACCGCACGACATTTAGCAAATCATGGGTGTCATGTGATCTCGTGTGTTGTCGGAAAAGACAAAGACTTACTCAAAGTAAAATAATTTTGAGCAATATTGATTTTGCCAACTTAAACGTTTTGGTTCTTGACCAATACATTTTGCAATATAATTTGAATCATAGAGTGTTGCCTATCAACAGAAGATTCTACATCCAACCGGTGGAAGGTCTGTTAAAACTGTGGCAGGTAAGCAAGATTAAGATATAAACGTTTAGTTAACAAAATACTAATCTTTTGTGTCTTTATCTAGAACTGCCGCAGCAATTCACCAATCCTGTTGATCTGATTGTTGATGCCCTACTAGGATATCAATTCACCTTACGAGATGTAGCAGATGAACATGAAAAACTCTTGATATGTGAATTGATTGATTGGGCCAATGCTAATAAAGCTCCCATTCTAAGTTTAGATATGCCAAGTGGAGTGAATGGAAATACAGGTAACTAGAAAGAACTTTGTACGCAGCATCTTAATATAAAAATTACTTAGAAATTCGTAACACATTATTAAGGTAATCCTAGCAATCCTGCCCACTGCATTCATCCAAAATGGACGCTATGTCTCGGGGCGCCTAAGAGTGGGTGTAAATCTCGTGCTGTTACTGGTGAACTATTTTTAGCTGATATCGGTATTCCACGAATTTGTTGGAAAAGAATCGGAGTTAAAGGATGGGGTATGCCATGGGGTAGTGAGTATTTAATTGGATTGGAATACGCTACGTAAATAATGATTATAGTCGATTAAAAACTTTTAAGCTTAGCAGAGCCGATAATTTTGATACGGCTAAGCCGGCTTAGTCGGTTATTATCTTAAAAAAAAAATTTTAATAATTAAATCTACCAATAATAAACTATAATCCGAAAACTTCTGTTGGCCACACGCACATTTTTTTACGTTTATTTTAAGCAATTAAATTAAAATAAATGATAAACGTTGCTGCGCAACATTCCAAAGTAAAAAAGTCGGCATTCTCTATTACGTCATAATGACGAAGTGAACTAAACTCTCTAAGTGCAATCGTACTGTGCATTCAGAGAATATTGCATTAGTTAATTTATATATCTGATACTGTACGTAACTTATGTGCAAACAGGAGTAACTATCCTATATAAGGGATTCGCTAAAGCGGTAAACTATTGAATTGCGGTCTGGGAGGTCATGCGAATCAATTGACACCCGATCGACTTTGAGATTGGAGATCATGATTATCATTATTTATCAGTCGCGGTAACAAATATTCGTGAACTTGAATAGTTTATCTTAAGGTGAGTATTTGTGATCCAGAGTTTTATTGATAGTATGTTTTAGTTAATAGTTTTTTTTTTTGGTATTAAGGTGAGGTCTTGCTTATATTTTTTTATTAGTAATTTATGTATATATGCTATGATTGAAGTTAACACTTGCAGTTAAGGTTAATCATTAAACTGCTAATTATACAGTTAGGCGAGACCAATTTGATTCAGTGGTTTACATTACATTAGAGGTCTTGAAGAGGGGGAAGAGGAAGGGTAAAGGCATATATATATATAGAATAAAAATAATTTATTATGTGTTTTTTAAAAAAATTTTTTTTATTAATTATAAATTTAAGTTTTCTGCCTTTTCTTTTTACTGTTTTTGCCAACCTTGATCTCTAAATGAGTAAAATAATCTTTTTCTAATTTTTTACATGTATAACAACATGGGTAAACTATTTTATATTGGTCAGTTAATGAACTTGGTATATCAAATAAGTTGTTTTCAGTTCTATACCAATAACAAAGTTGTGTTTTATCATTATTTTCATAGGCATAATAATTTGTTTTAATTGGTAAGTTACAAGAAATATGTTTATAAACAAAAGAATATTATATAATGAATGGTCTTCTGCTAAGATAGGTCTATTACAAGTATATAGATTATTTTGAAAAGTTGTTTGTTATTGCAATTCTTTTTCTTTACTTAATAAATATTGACTATAAAAGCAACATCATTTTTCACAAGTTGTATATTTTACTTATTTATGAATTTTCTTAGATGTATATAGATTATTAAAATCATATTCTTGTTCTTGATTTAATAATAAAAATGGACAATGATTTTTATTAGTTATAGTATCATATATAGAATTAAAAGGTACATAATAATTTAAGTTTATAATATTGTAAAATACTTTAAAAAATTATTTAATAAATAATTAAAATTTTTAGAAGTTCAATTTGAATTATCTAGATAATTATTCTGATAAACACTATTCAAATTGGAACTTTAAAATTTTTTTCAAAAAAAATTCAAACAAATCATTTATTGATAATATAAGATTAGATAAAAAATTTAATAAATTAAATTTTTTAATTAGCATTTTAATTGACTTGCACAAATCACAATTTGATTGCAAACATTTTTTAATCTTAAAATAATATATTAGAATTATAAATTATTAATTTAAAATAATAACTAAAATATTAATCTGAAATAAATATATTCTTTGTTAACAATATGATCTTAAAAATTTCATTAATCTAATATGTTTTTTTAAATTTGCCCAGATAGTTTTATTAACTTGAAGTGTATTATCAATATACTTTATTTCCTATAAATTTTAGAATAATTTAAATATTTATTTTTTAAAAAAATATACTAAATATTTAACCTGAAACAATTTATCTATATCAATATCTAAAACAAGATCATAGCATTTAAATGGATTTTTATTTAAAACAAGTTACTTAGTTCATTTATATAAAAAATCTTTAATATCAGTAATACTATTTTGAATTGCTTTTTTTAAGTTTCTATTATTATTGACTGCTTTTCTAATATCTTTAAGTATGTTTAATTGCTCAAAGATTTTTTCATTCTTAATACTTAATTCATTATATACTTATGTAATATTTTACAATTCTAAATTAAGAATTAATATTATTTTTTCTATAGGATTTGTCTAACTATGGTATAGTGCTGTTCTCATTGTTATAAGCATATCAAAATCACTTTTAAAAAATAATAAACTAAGAAAAATTTGCACAAATCTAAAATTTGTTCTATAATTAGGACTATTATCTGTATATATACAGTATGTTACAAAAATAACTGGAATTAGAAATCATGTAACTGTGGCATAGTAGTATCATTAGAATTAAATAAAATTTATATAATTTATAATATATAACTAGATATTTATTTATTAAAAAAATTAATAAAATAAATACAGTATATGCTTACTATTTTTTTAAATTAAAAGCTAATATTAGTTATTTTTTTTTTAATTGATAATCTGCAAGTCATCTGGATAAAATGATCTGCAAGTACTAAGTAAATTTGACACAAATTTAATAATTAAAAATCTGATTTGTAAATGTGAAAATTTTTAGATTTGTATTATGTGTATATACAGCCAATCAGATCTTTGTGAATAAAATGCTTTTGATATACTTTCAATACTTTTTCGATATAAGAAACTCTCAATATAAAAGACCTTTAGTATAAGAAACTCTTAATATAAGATTTTGTAAGTTTCAATTAAAACTTTTATAATAAAAAGCTCTTGATATAAAAAAATCTCGATATAAGACAGATTTTAACTGGATCTGGCAATTTCATCAAGATTCACTTGTATCAAACAAGCCATAATAATTTATTTTATCATACATAGCTTAGATAAAATATGAACTAAATTCTTTCTAATTGCTTATATATTTTGTTTAAACTTTGAGTTTATTAAAACACATAAGCATACCAAACTCCTGAAAATCTCAAAACTAACACATTATGTTAGCTAATATTAAATCTTTTTCTTTGATTTCAGATTTCTCTGAGTTAATATAAAGTTAAAACATAGTAAACTTAAAGTGTATGAACTAACTCAAAACACAACCACAAATAAATATAGAAAACAGGTAAAATACTAAAGTATTAAACTATTATGATTTGGGGTTTCATTTGATAATATTTAAAGTTTATTGAAGGTTCTGATAGATTCTGTTATAAAAATAGTAGGTACAACCAAATATAAATATTTAATAATCTTTAGAATAATTATAAAAACTTATTTCATATCTTCTAGTGAATCTTTGGTAGTGTAGAATTATTGTACTATATTAGCATTATGAAGAGAACCAACAGAGGATTTTTTTTTTGAAACAAAAGGCTTATTTCTTTTAAGCTCCTTTTTAAGATTACTTATTCAAACTTCTTAAACTTTTTTATTTATTTTTTTTTTATTCATATGAATTTAGTAAGTGATATATATTATTAATCTTATCTTTTAATAAAAAATTATTTTACTTAATTTTTTCGCTCATGAGTACAAAAAATAGTTGAATATACAGTCAGACCTTTCTAAGTCTCTATAAACGCACATCCTCTCTAAATGCATACTCAAGTACTAGCCCAAACTTGACCTCATAAATGCACTTTTTTTTTTATTATTCTTTATATGCACATTATTAAAATGCAATCCCAAGAATGTGCACTTAGAGAAGTCCGACTGTACAAGTTATATTACATTGTAACTGTTTATATAGTGAAATCTAAGATTGACTTCATGAAAGATATGAAATAAAGTGTAGACTTAAAAGTTTAATATAGTTAGACTGCTCTAAATGCATGCTCAAGTGCCAGTCCAAATATATACTTGACCTCTATAAGTATATTTTTTCTTATTATTATCTATATGCATATTATTAAAGTATGGTCTCACATGTAGAACCAAGTTAATGATGACTAGACTCAATATACAAAGCAGGCTATGGTACTCTTCACAACTATGTAAACCAAGCATATAGTGAGCAAATTTACAAAAGAATTTTCAACATTCTTGAATCCCATTTCATTATCTCAAATCAAATAAGCTCTGCAAGAACTTATTCATAATACATTATATGATCCAGACTCTTGCTATAACTTATGGTTAACACATTTAAAGCTACTCTTATTTTCACATTCACAAACATTTAACTCATTTCTAAAACACATCTACCAATATAACTTTACACAATACAATAACTTTAACTATGCACTAAGATTAGCAATCAAACTGGACTATAGTGAATGCTATATACACCTACTATATGTGTCTCAACCCTTATCTAATTACTTCTTCCTACAATTATCAGGTTATACCTACTATCTATCTATACCTATCCTCTTTAAATTCTCTTTAATTAACAATAATATATTAGATACTAATCTAATCATAAAGGATGATGAATTAGACAACAATCAACCAAAATAAGTTATATTAATATAAACTCTTTCCGATGATTTTCTGCATCAATTTTTTCATATATACTGATCTACAAAAATTATATAATTAGCATATTTATATACAACAAAACTTTGCCGTATAGCATCTGGGTTCAAGAGTTTTAGATTGCATGTGGGCCATATGAAAAAGAGTTGAAAAAGACAGCTCCTTGTGGGTTTGGCTCTCTGGTAGAAGTCTATGGAGTTATCGAAAAAGTAACTTTGGCTACAACCAAGGAAGTTTTTGTCAAGCTATATCTGAGCAATAGCAAAGATAGAAGCTTGGTTGAATATGCTATTCTATATAACGTAAACTTCTATGCTCATTACAGTTGGTGCTTTAAAAAATTCCTTTCCCACTTTTTCCAAGAAATTTTTATCAAAAAGTGGGCAATCCAGCTTACCTCCATCGAAATTGGCATTGTTGATCCTTCCAAATCAGGATTGTTTATCAGTTCTATTTGGAATAGGCCCATGTTGCAGATAAAGCACAAGTACACGTGTCTTGGAAAAACACAACAATGAGACGAGATTAGAGATTTTTGCGATAGATAAGATGATTGGTCAGAAATGTGACAAGTGTCGAAATGTAAGATCTGGTGAAAAGTATGATGAGTCATACATGAAGATGAATTCAGTGACAAGGAGTCGAGGCATCCGGCATATGGAAAATTCTCTGCCAGTTCAGTTTTAGTTGAATTGTTTTTCTTAGGATATAAGCTTTAGTATTAAATATATTAATTAGATAAAGTTAAAATAGAGATTACTATATTTAGTAACATATAATTTTTAGTAGGCTGATATAGCCTTTATAATTAGTGACTGTTTATCTTTGTCAGCAGTCTTCTTCTTTTTTATTTCTTTTTGATATTTGTTTTTTTTTTTATATTTCTTCACTGTACACATTTTTTTAGTACATTTCTTTTCAACAAAAAAAATTTTTTTAGTTTTTTACCTCTTTACAAATGAATAGTATCAGATTGGTGCAGTTTAATTGTAGGGCAGCAGACAGATAAGCTTAATCCAGACTTTAGCAGATCTGGTATAGCAGGTCACTCGTAAGTGCCAATTGGAGTAACTATATGATGATGGTACATAGAGTTAGATATAGTTCTATTTGTATATTGTCTGTACTAAACAGTTATAAATAAACTTTTGACTAGTTGACCATTGTGGCTGCCAAAGATTAAAAAAAAAAAAAAATAATAATAATATAAAAAAAAATAAATTCTATTACAGTATATTAGATTGATCTAATATTTTTTTTTTCTGATTCATTTTGGCAG